CCCCAGAGGCTGGCGCAGGCAGAGCGCGGTGGCCACTGGCCAGGCAGGGAGCTGCCCCGGGCCCCGGGCTGGCTCGCCTCCCTGCCTGCCATGGAGCCCAGGACTCGGAGAGCCCGAGGCCAGCATGGAGCAGCAGGCTGGGGCCCCACGGCAGGGTCCCTGCACGGCCTCGCCTTGGGCGTCGGTGCCGGACACGACGGGCCCGGCGCCCTTGCCGGGCCCGGGGCAGCTTTAGAGTCAACACGGAGGTGGCAAGAGGTGGTGGGCCTGGCGGTCAGTGCTGCGTGGGAGCTCATGGGCAGAGTGGCCAGTGAGGCCAGGCACCCCTTGCGTGACTTCAGGGCAGTGGGCAGTGCCGCCCTATGCTGGGGGCAGCTGCCCCCCACATGGCAGGATCTGGGACAGGGTGTGGGCACAGCTTTGGGCCAGCCCCCGACGAGGGCGCCTCTGGCAGGGACACGTGGGCTGAGTGGCCCTGGGGCGCTGAGGCTGGCCGGGGGGGGGGCGCTGGTGAAGGGTCGGGGGGTGCACCAGCAGCCACACCTGGATCACAGCCGTGTAGTTCGCGGGGGTGAACTCTGGGCCGTTGTCGTTCACGTCGGAGATGTCGATGTTGACCGTGGTGGTGGCCGACATGGTGGGGAGGCCGCTGTCCACGGCCTGGACCAGCAGCGAGTATCCCGACACCTGCCGGTCAGGGCACGGGTGTCAGAGGCAGCCTGCTTGGCGCGGGCCTCCAGGCCATGAACTGGGGCTGACCTGTGCCCTGTGGGTGGTCAGTGTCCCGTCTCCACCCAGAGAGACCAGCAGCACTCGGATGCCGTCCACTGTCCTCTGAGGGAGGCCTGCCCAGTCCATGACCCTGCATCGGCCACGCCCGAACACAGGGCCATGTCCACGGCCGTCTCACCGGCCAGAGGGCACTTGGGTTGTGGGGCGCAGCCCCGGGGAGCCCTGCCTTTCGGCACGGGCTCGCGGCTTCCTTTCTACACGGTTTGCGTGACGACGCGTCTCTGGCTGTGGAAGACGTTCAGGGCCCGTCACTCTGGACGTGGCCTCTGGTGCCTTCCCTGTGCCCTTCGGTGCAGACCTGGCCCCACAGGCTGGCCGGCGGCCGGCCCAGCCCCGGGAAGGCACGGGCTGCCCTTCTCCAAAGCCCCTGGGGGCTGGACCCTGGCCGTCCTGGCGGGCAGCAGACTCCTGGTGTCCAGCCCGGACCCGTGCGGCGCCGTCACTGTGACGTGGCACACCGGGCCGCGTGTGGGCCGGGCCTGGCGCCAGGGGGGCGTGGGGCGGGGCCAGGCACCTACCCGCTCCCGGTCCAGTTTCTTCTTGACCTTCACAAGCCCCAGGACAGGGTCCACGGCAAACTCGTCGTCCCGGTCGCCACTGGCGATGGAGAAGCGGATCTGCGCGTTGGGCGGACTGTCGGCGTCCTCGGCCATCAGCTGCCAGGCAGAGCAGTGGGGCCGTGTGAGTGCTGCCCGCTGCCGCTCGCTGCCCGCTGCCCGGCCTTCCTGCAGGCGCGACTGCCCCAGCGGTACACACCGGGACATCCTGCATCTGCACATGGCAGGGGGCACGGTGCCC